GTTGCAAATTTTCCCGGGAGGAGTGGAAGAGTGCATAGCGGACCTACCTGAAGTAAGAAGAGTTGTTGTAATTGCTATCCCGGATACCCGTGCAAATGAAGAAATGTGCGCATGCGTGGTGTTTTATCAAAGTTCAAAGGTAACGATAGCTGAAGTAAAGTCACACTGCAGAGAACGACTCGGCGACAACATAACAGGCCACTCTCCGAAATATTATTTGCAGTTTGAGACCATACCCACTCTTGCCACGGGGAAAGAAGATAGGGTGAAAATCAGACGTGACGCTTTAAAACTACTATATATAGAACACTAGACAAAATCTAGACGTATTTAATTTACTTGAAGAAATTCGTCTATATTTTTGCCCATTTCAGTAACAATTTTTGCAAGAGGATCGAGGTTTCCAATTTCAATTGAACTTTGGCATTATAGTTCCAAAACCCATTGCAAAACCACACGTCACTGGATGTTTAAGATTTAAAGTCTTTGATGAACTATGGGAACCGTCAATAACACAACAAAAACATGAACAAGAGGCCCAGAGGGCCTGAATGGCTCACCTGGATATCTAAGCAATTATGGCAAAATATTCTCCAAATGAGATCCAAGGGAATATGCCAGACCCCAATGCCAATTCTTGTAGTATGTCTGTATTAGATTTTTCATGCCCAGCAATTTAATGTATGGTTATATTATGGGGTGGGGATCTAAACTGTTTCCAAGCTGTGACTCAGAAACTAGGTCCCTAGGGATTCGGGCAGACCCCAGGGGCAATTCTAATACTATGACTACTTTTGTCTCTTTGTGACAACCAATTGTAAATATAGTTCTGGGGTGGGGATATCAACCGTTTCAAAGTTATGACCCAGGGACTATGTCTCAAAGGGTGGGGCCAGACCCTAGGTCATCCTGGAAGCAAATGTGCATGCTTCTCTTTATACTCAACAATTGTATATATGGTAATACCGTGGGGATCTCAACCATTTCCAAGTAATTATCTTTTTTTTGTCCCCAGCCCTTAGCACGGGGGGGGGGGGGGGGGGGGGGGGTGTCGGCCCCACCACTTGTACAATTTTGAATCCCTGCCTCCCATGAATGCTTCTGACCAAATATTATTGATATCCACCATGGCATAGTTCTACAGAAGAAGTCGTTAATAGCAATATAGACAAATTGCCCCCTTTTGGACCCGCCCCTCAGCCCCCTGGGGGCTCAATTAAACAATTTGTACAATTTTGAATCGCCACTACCGAGGTATGCTTCCAGTCAAATATGGTTGATATTCATCTCTTAGTTCCAGAAAAGAAGAAGCTTAAATCAATATAGCGCAATAGCCCCATTTGGCTCCGCCCCTCAGGTCCCTGGGGGGCCAGACCCCTTGTTATACAAATTTGGTTCCCCTTAACCGAAGGATGCTTCAGACCAAATATGGAACAAATCCTTTCATTCCTACAGAAGAAGGATTTAATATAATTTGCTATGTTTCCCCTATTGGGCCCCGCCGCTCAGGCCCCTAAGGGGCCAGACCCCCGGTTTATACAAAATTGGTTACTCTTCACCCAAGGATGCTTAAGACCAAATATGGAACAAATCCTTTCATTCCTACAGAAGAAGAAGGATTTTAAAGAATTTGGTATGTTTCCCCTATTGTGCCCCGTCGCTCAGGCCCATATAGGGCCAGACCCACGGTTTATACATAATCAGTTCCCCTTCACCGAAAGATGCTTCAGACCAAATATGGAACAAATCCTTTCATTCCTACAGAAGAAGAAGGATTTCAAAGAATTTACTATGTGTTTCCTATTGGGCCCGCCCCTCAGGCCCCTCCGGGGCCAGTCCCCCGGTTTATACAAAATTGTTTCCCCTTCCCCCAAGGATGCTTCAGACTAAATATGGAACAAATCCTTTCATTCCTACAGAAGAAGAAGGATATGTTAAAGAACTTACTATGTGTTCCCTATTGCGCTCCACCCCTTAGGCCCCCCGGGGGCCAAACCCCCGGTTTATACAAAATTGGTTCCCCTTCCCCCAAGGATGCTTCAGACTAAATATGGAACAAATCCTTTCATTCCTACAGAAGAAGAAGGATTTGTTAAAGAACTTACTATGTGTTCCCTATTGCGCTCCACCCCTTAGGCCCCCCGGGGGCCAAACCCCCGGTTTATACAAAATTGGTTCCCCTTCCCCCAAGGATGCTTCAGACTAAATATGGAACAAATCCTTTCATTCCTACAGAAGAAGAAGGATTTCAAAGAATTTGCTATGTTTCCCCTATTGTGCCCCGTCGCTCAGGCCCATATAGGGCCAGACCCACGGTTTATACATAATTAGTTCCCCTTCACCGAAAGATGCTTCAGACCAAATATGGAACAAATCCTTTCATTTCTACAGAAGTAGGATTTTACAGAATTTGCTATGTTTCCCCTAATGGGCCCCGCCCCTCAATGCCTCAGGGGCCAGACCCCCGGTTTATACAAAATTGGTTCCCCTTTACCCAAGGATGCTTCAGACTAAATATGGAACAAATCCTTTCATTCCTACAGAAGAAGAAGGATTTCAAAGAATTTACTATGTGTTTCCTATTGGGCCCGCCCCTCAGGCCCCTCCGGGGCCAGTCCCCCGGTTTATACAAAATTGGTTCCCCTTTCCCCAAAGATGCTTCAGACAAAATATGGAACAAATCCTTTCATTCCTACAGAAGAAGAAGGATATGTTAAAGAACTTTCTATGTGTTCCCTATTGCGCTCCACCCCTTAGGCCCCCCGGGGGCCAAACCCACGGTTTATACAAATTTGGTTTCCCTTCCCCCAAGGATGCTTCAGACCAAATTTTGAAATCATTTTTTTCCTACAGAAGAAGGAGTTTAAAGAATTTACTATGTGTTCTCTATTGGGCCCCGCCCCTCAGGCCCCTCCGGGGCCAGATCCACGTTTTATAAAAAAATGGTTTCCCTTCGCCCAAGGATGCTTCAGACTAAATATGGAACAAATCCTTTCATTCCTACAGAAGAAGAAGGATTTCAAAGAATTTACTATGTGTTTCCTATTGGGCCCGCCCCTCAGGCCCCTCCGGGGCCAGTCCCCCGGTTTATACAAAATTGGTTCCCCTTTCCCCAAAGATGCTTCAGACAAAATATGGAACAAATCCTTTCATTCCTACAGAAGAAGAAGGATATGTTAAAGAACTTTCTATGTGTTCCCTATTGCGCTCCACCCCTTAGGCCCCCCGGGGGCCAAACCCACGGTTTATACAAAATTGGTTTCCCTTCCCCCAAGGATGCTTCAGACCAAATTTTGAAGAAATCATTTTTTTCCTACAGAAGAAGAAGGAGTTTAAAGAATTTACTATGTGTTCCCTATTGGGCCCCGCCCCTCAGGCCCCTCCGGGGCCAGATCCACGTTTTATAAAAAAATTGGTTTCCCTTCGCCCAAGGATGCTTCAGACCAAATATGGAACAAATCCTTTCATTCCTACAGAAAAAAAAAGGATTTTAAAGAATTTGCTATATTTCCCCTATTGGACCCCGCCCCTCAGCCCCCAGGGGGCCAGACCCACCATTTATTTGTTCCCTTTTCCCTTAGGATGCTTCTGACCAACTTTGGTCAAAATCTGCTCAGTCGTTTATGACTAGTAGCGATTTTTAGGAAAAGTTGACGGACGCCGCGCCATGGCATAAGCTCACTTGCCCTTCGTGGAGATGGTGAGATATTTGATGTAAAAGGTAATATCTTCCAAAGGCACGGCAGTAACATGTTTTGGAATTCCCTCTTAAAATGTTCAAACATTTCCAACCGAGAAAGCCGCCAGACTGCCCGCTCCTTAGACAAATAGGTCTACTTGCAACCACTGAGGCATTAAATACATCAATGAATTAAATGCATCAATGAAGTTATTTATATCGCTATGCTATCATCGTTTGTCGCGTTAGCATTAACGCTGCAAAATATCTTTTAGATTTGTTATGGACTCCCTGTATTATGAATTAATGCTTAACCAGTATAATAACGTATTCGTTGTATTTACTATATGTGAGTAGTTTATTTACTATAATTTTGTATAAACAAATAAAGTTTGTTTTGTTTTACGGTTCATCGACATTGAGAGTAATTTAGGGCCAAAAACAAGGTTACCGCGAGCGGTATATAATACGCCCGTCACACATTGAATGAGCAGTTGTTTGTATGATTGAAATATATGAAGTATTTGTGAGTAATTGATATTAAAAGAGAAATCATTCAACATAACTGGTAGATCAATGAGTGCAATACAACATCATGGAACGCATGCATCGCATTAATGAAACCAAGGGTAATAACTCCAGTAATTA